ATATAATAAGTTAGAGTTATAAACCGAGTAGGAGGTTTATAACTGATATATTGCCCCCGATATCAGTTATAAACCGACTTTCGAGGTTTATAACTAACTTATATCACATTTGTGGAGGTTTTCTAACATATTTTGTCATTTTCAAAAATTTTTAATGAAAAATTCTCGCGTTTTGTCTACAAGTTTAATCTAATCATTTATTCAAGGTCTATAAGCTAGTTATAAACCTCGGACGAACAAAGAAAACCGACAAGTGTGATATAAGATAAATAATAAACAAAAAAATATTAGTTATAACTACTTATACTAAGATTTAAATCTTAGGGTACGTTAACACACCGTGACTTAACAACCATGCATGCAGATATTAACGGCTTATTGACCGAGCGTGAGGTCTGTGCTGTGAAATATCAGACGGAGGTTTTTTAGTATGGACCGAGCGACGAAGGAGCGAGGTCCATGCAAAAAAACAGAGGTCTGATTTTTCACAGTATACAGACCGAACAAGCGAGGTCAATAATCGGTTTATTATATATATGGCTGAACTGAGTCTGTGACCATATGCTTTTCGCGCGAATTAAATCGGCTATCGTCAGTTTCACTGGGTAACAATATACGGTAGGCATGCATGCTCAATCAAAAACAATTTGGTTGTTTGAAATTTTTATCTGTAAATTTTAATGACACACAATTGGAAAATGGACCATTTGCATTATAGACTAAATTTTGATCTAGACAAAAATTTCATCACAGCTTCAAAGAGCATCACAAAATTAGTAATATTCCAAAGTTTCGTTGCGAAATGTTGTAAAATGCGGATATTATAGCCTTGCGAAATTTGCAATTTTCAGTCATTTTGTATTACGAACGGGAAATTGTTGCCCCCAACACCCGATTGGGCTGTCAATTTCCCGTGCGTAATACAAAATGACTGAAAAACGGCAAACTTCGCATGGCTATATTATCCGCATTTTACAACATTTCGCAACGAAACTTTGGAATATTACTAATTTTGTGATGCTCTTTCAAGCTGTGATGAAATTTTTGTCTAGATCAAAATTTAGTCTATAATGGTGCATTATGCAAATGGTGCATTAGAAAGCAAAAATATTTTCTGTTTGCAAAGCAAAAATTTCCCGCCAGGTAAACGACATCCGGGACACCGGTCCAGATACGGAAAATACGGACCGCGGTCCGGATATGTGTTTTTACGGACCGCTTGTCAACCAATCCGAATAGAGAATTTTGAAAAGCCATATAATAATAAGTTTTATATACTAACAGATTAAGATATTATTAATCTATTATTATATTATTCATATTATTATTATTATTATTAATATATAACATTAATATATTCATTAATGTTACTATACACCAGGTGGCATATTAATAAAACGGCAATCCGCATACGCGTATGGATGAGTCTGTGACGAGGAGGGAGGGGGTTGTGCTCGCGATCCAGTCTGTTCGATATTTTGGTCATTTGTAGCATGACCACCATAGTCGGGGGTAGGGGGTGGTGTTCGCGGTCTAGTCTGTGAGATATTTTGGCCATTGGTAGCATGGCAATCATTGGAGGGGGTAGGGGGTGGTGCTCGTCCTAGGGATTGTGTCCGCGGGACTGGTGGTAGGGAGCGGGTTTGCCTATTCCTTTCTACATCATTTTGTGTCTCACGCCGGGATTTCGTTTTACAACGATCGTATAACAAATAACCAAGTATAAGGACGATGATAGCTAACAGTATTATAAATACAATCGCATAAGGTGGAAAGGGAGCCGTACTCGTACACGAATTCATTTTCTGGGTTGGTGCATTCTGGTCAGGAATTTGGTCTGGAGTTTGTTTTGAGATTTGCTCTGGTGTTTGTGTTGGTTTTTGCTCTGGTGTTTTCTTGGTAGTTGTTGTTGAACTGGTTGATTTTGCACATACATTATCCGAGTCGCAATACTCCTTAGGACCCGTGCAATCACTATTCTCATCACATCTTTCTCCGACACAACTCCTTCGACAAACATTCCCTTGTGCTCGCACACAGCAATACTCGGAAACAGCACAGTCAGAACTTGAATTACATCGCGGACAGTTCTGGGAATTAGTACATTTGTTTTTCATACAGCATGCGCCTTCGCCACCACAATCCCCATGTGTCAAACAGTATCGACCTTCGCAGTTGTAAGGCTGACAATATCTGTCGACGTCACGAGCGTTTTTACAACACACGATACGCAACTGTAGGAAATCATTGTAACAGTCCGCATTTGTATAACATTCGTCTTTGGCCACAACCAGCTTGATGAGAAATAACACAATCATGCATGGTAAAAGCAAAATCAGGGATGTCCTCGACATTTTATGACTGACTGAAGACGATGAACGTAGCTAGAATAAAAATCTATATGAAATGGTGCTTAGTTTCACTTTGCTACAGC